GTGTGTGTGTGTGTGTCTATGAGTGTGCACTTCACACAGCCAGCCCACCCTCTCTCGGGGTACCCTCCTACCTGCCACTGGTTCCCCGTCTGGCCGGGCATGTAGGGGGCCGGGAGGCTCCGCAGGCTGTTCTTCACGGGGGAGCCGGCCAGGGGCCCGGCCACGTCCGCGGCGGCCGAGTCGGCGGCCAGGGCCATGGAGTACTGCGGGTAGTTGTACAGGTTGTTGTAGTAGGGGAACAGCGAGGGCTGGTAGAAGCTGCTGTAGTAGGTGGGGTCCGCCACCAGTTCAGGTGCGTTCTCCATGTGCCCCCTGCTGGTGGCCGCGGGGAGATCCTGGATCACCATGCGTCCCTCGGGAACTGGGGGGGTGGGGGGAGAGAGAAAGCCAAAACGGTGTGAGTGCCGGGGCCACAAGGTGCACCCTGCAAACCTCGGAAGAGCAGGGGGGCTGGCACACAGGTGACAGACAGCCTGCGACTTCTCCTGCCCCCCAAACAGAAGGCCGTTTCTCAGGAGGACTGGTCTCTGGGCACAGGCGCCTGGCCAATTCCACCGGGAGACAATTAGCCCCACAGTCGGTCTGCCTTCCACCCAGCCATGCCCACCCTCACGGTCAGGTGCAGCCACCTGACCAGGCCGCGGCGTGCTGACAACACAAGGAATCAGCACGCTTTAACTAGTGTTGATGCGAATTCCCTGGGCTCCTAACTCCAAGAGGCGGGCAGCTAGGTCGGAAAGTCAAGTCGAAGCAGAGGCGAGAACGGTGAAGCAAACATTGTTTCCTTCGCTTCCTGGCCGGCTGATAGCCGCCCACCCACAGAGCTGGAGGGTGGCACAGCGCAGGCGGCCTCTTGGAGGGCTGGACAACCAAGACGCTGATTTTTTTTTAATTAGCAATTTTTTAATCGTTTTATTAGGGGTTCATACAACTCTGATCACAATCCATACACACATCAATTGCGCCAAGCACATTTGTACATTCATTGCCCTCCTCATTCTCAAAACATCCGCTCTCCACCCAAGCCTCGGCATCAGCTCACTTCCTCCCCCGAGACTGTCTAAACAGTAATTTATAAGTTATTATTTATGAATGCGCTAGATGGCTGCTTGTTCACCTTCAAGCCTTGAAGACCCCAGACACTGTATCTTTTGATAGCCGGGCACCATCAGCTTTCTTCACCACATTTACTTATTCACCTGCTTTGTCTTCAGCGGTTGTGTCGGGAAGGTGAGCATCATGGAATGCCAATTTAATAGAAGAAAGTGTTCTTGCATTGAGGGAGCACCCGAGTGAAGGCCCAATGTCCTTCTGCTACCTTAATGCTAAACCTATAAATATATGCACATAGATCTATTTCTCGATCCTCATATATAAATATATGTGCATATGCACATGCCTTTCCTTAGACCTCTATAAATGCCCTTTGCCTCCTAGCTCTTTCCTCTATTTCTTTTGACTTTCCTCTTGTCCCACTATCATGCTCAGCCTTCATTTGGGCGGTGCTGGGGACAACGGTCAGGGGCCCCCTGGACAGCCAGGAAAGGGGCAGATCTGTCGTGAACAGGTGACAGCCTGAGACGCTCAGGTGGTGACACTTCATCTCACAGGCTCCAGGGAGTTTGCCAGAAGGGACCCGTCCCTGGAGAAGGACCCCATGCTTCATCAAGGCGGTGGCAGTGAAAGGGGGGACGACTCTCAGTGAGGTGACTCACGCGGTGACTGTCACAATGCGCTCAAACGTTCCAAGGTGGTGAGGACCTTGCAGGACCCGGCAGTGATTTGTCCTGGGGTACAGGGGGTCACGATGGGCTGGTATTGACCAGCGAGCCATATAAAGACGCAGTGAGGCAGGCAGGTCTAGTCGAAAGACTCAACGCTCTATCCTTGACCGCTCACGATCCGTGGTGCCGGGCGGTCCTGGAGCGGCCTGGACGGTCCTGGAGCGGCCTGACTGCGGGCCATCTATGGGAAGAGAGGTGGGGCCTCCTGCTCAGGTCATGGCAGCGCTTTCTCGACCAAGAGGCTTTGATGCCGCCAGGCTTCTTGCTCTTCTCCGGACCATAAAAGACGAAACCGTCTTTCCAAGCACCTGCATGGGCAGCCCTGGTGGAGTCTGGGTGACACACTGGGCTGGCAACTGCAGAGTCGGCAGTTCAAGACCACCAGCCGCTCTGCGGGAGAAAGGTGAGGGTTTCCACTCCCACAAAGAGTTATAGTCTTGGAAACCTGCAGGGGCAGTTCCGCCCCGTCCTGGACGGTTGTCATGAGTCCTTGCTGTTGTCTCCATACATCTATTAAGCACCTACTATGTGGAACCAGGCTGCTCCCCCAAATGTTGGTGGTTTGCATCTACTCAGAGGCTCATTCAAAGAAAGACTTGGCCGGCTGCACCTCCCTCACCCACGCCGCCCCCCAATCCACCAGTGAAAATCCTCTTCTGAAACATGGGGGCGAAGTGGGGGTCGCCACGAGGCCCACTGGCTTCTATCGGCTGACATCCACAACCTTCCTGAGACTGCCGGTCCTTGGCCTTGCCTTGTGGATGGCTCTGTCGGTGTTGCTCATTCACCGCCGGTCACTTCACAGGGAGGCGCAGGGCCCCTGCCACCAAAGGCCCTGAGCCCTGTTTGCAGTGTGACCTGTTCTGAAGCAGGGCAGCCTGTCCGTGACAGTTAGGCGTGACCAGAAAAACCCACACCGGGGTCATCTCACTGCCCCTGGAGCCTGCACAGGCAGGTGTACCGTCTATCCCGTTGACCTGGAGGTGGTTGTCCGTGTCTGGTGTCTGGGGAGGCCAGCCAGGCTGGAGGCGAGGCCCGAGGAGGTGGAAAGCCCTTCCGGGAGAGGAGAATTAGCTCAGCAGTGTTGCTAGGGAAGAGGGCCGGGCTGGACTCCGGGGCAGTGAGCACCCAGGCTATCATACCTCAGGCTCACTGTGAGTCAGAGCCGACCCAAAAAGCCCCATCAACAAACCCGGGATCTCAAACTCAGAAGCTATGAGATGCATAAGCCAACTGCACACGCTTTGAGACACGGCTGTGTGCACGTCAACCATCAACCACGCCTTCCAAAAGTTACCTTCCACTCAACAAACCAAAGTTCTAAGACGTACAAACGGTGCTTTTGAAAGGCTACTCCCAATCCTAGTCCAGAGGAGCCTGGGCGGACAGTGGGTTAAGAGTTCCAGGGGAGAAGCCTTCTACAGCTCTGCCCTGCCCTACAGGGTCTCCACGGGTCAGAACCGACTCCAGGGCAGGGGGGTTGGCAGTTTTTCGAACCATAACTGGTTCTGAGTCCCAGAAAAACAACAGTGAGAGTGTATGGTGTCCCCATAACCCCGAGTTAAAAATTAAGCAACCAGAAAACCTCATCGCTGACATGGAAAGTGGACTCCAATTCAAGACAACCCCACGTGTGTCCAGGAGAATTCTGCCTCCTGGTCTGGCGGCTGTTCAGTTCTCATCGTGGACTGGGCGGGGACCACGTCATGTGAGGCGTTGAAACAAGTTATCGACCCCCCACGGTCCTTTCTCTCCTGTCACCTTCCCTCTCAGCAAGTCCCTGTTCACGCACGGGTGGCGTGGCGCTTATGAACTGGGCTGCTAATCTCCAGGTTGGCAGTTCGAAACCATCAATCTCCCCAGGTGAGAGAGATGAGGCTGTCTACTCCTGTAAAGTGTTACAGTCTCTGAAACCAGCTGGGGTGGTTCCACCCTGTCCTACAGGGTCACCGTGAGTCAGACCGACTCGATGGCCCTGAGGTGTAGGGGTAGGAGTCACACCGCAGCAGGAGCTAGCTTTGTTTGGGAATCCTTGTAGAAGTAGACGGATGTATCTTGTTCCCCATGGAGAAGCCGATGGTTTCCAACTACCAGTGCTTCTGCTACTTTCTACCCCACCAGCGTTACTGCAGGTGCTGTCCGGCAGGCTCTGGCTCAGAGCAACCGCCAAATACAACAGCAGGACACACCGCGCCCTCCTGCGCCCCCCCCCCCATCACGTGAGCCCACGGTTGGACCCTCTGTGTCTGTCCGTCCACCTCACGGAAGGTCCTCCTCATCTCATGGACCCTCTGCCTTCCGGGGCACCATGTCCGAGATTCCATCTCCACATCTGGCTTCTGGGATATGCGTGGTGAAACGCAACCCGCTCCTTCCCGGGAGATCGGTACCCCACGTGATAAACACCCTTCTTGATTTTGCAGCGCTATGAGCTGGTCTTTGGGCCATGCCATGTTCACAGGTGTTGACCCGGCGTTCCTTGGCAGGTGTGTGAAGGCTTCCTCCCTCCCCCTCCTCTGCTATGGGTTCCCAGAGTCCTTTGCTCTCATCCCCGGAGATGTGTTCCCTCGGCAACCACAAAAACAAACCCCAAGGTGTCTTACATGACACCAGAAAGGACATAAATAAAATCCAAATTCACAGGCCACATACATCGCCCGACTGTGACTCACAGCAGTCCCTGTAAATGAGTGATTACGTCTCCAGGAGCCTTGGCAGAGCAGTGGTTACCAGCTGGGCTGCTACCTGCAAGATCAGCAGTTCGAAACCACCAGCTGCTCTTTGGGAGCAAGAAGAGGCTCTCTGCTCCCATACAGAGTGACAGTCTCAGAAACCCACTCGGGGCAGTTCTACCCTGTCCTGCGGGATCACTGTGACTGGAGGCCGACTTGACGGAGGAGTCTGAGTTTGAAGACCCACAGGGAAGGAGCACTCAGCTGCTACTCGGAGGTCAGTGGTTTGAACCCCCAACCATCCTTAGAGAGGGAGATGAAGCTGCCCCTGCCAGTTAAGATTGAGCGTTCCAGAAACCCACGGGGGGCAGTTCCTCAGTGTCCAGTTCTGTGCCAGCATCTTCTGGACCAACGTGACTCAGGCCTGAGCCCGGGCGCCAGCTGGCATCTGCTCGCCCCAGGCTTGGTCTCTGGAAGCCCACCTCTTGTGGGACCCACGCCCCACCGAGTGAGACCGACCAGGCACACAGGGCGGGTGGTACGCCCAGGCGTCCGAGACTCATCATTGAGGGCCGTCGTGCAGAGAGCTGGGTGGGCCCAGGAGAGTAAGTCTGAGTCCCCGCTGCTGGGGAGGGGCCTCAGGGGAAATGAGCAACCGCAGTAAAGGCTGTGAAGCTGAGCTAGGACCTCCATCTCTGCGGAGATGCTACCTACGGGGTGGGCCTCCGGGAACCCGAGGGCTGACTCGGCGTCCGGTGAGCCGCACCAAGGTCCCCTGCCCTCAGCAACAAAGCCATGTCAGATACTTGGGATCGAGTTGGTTCTGACTCATGGCAACCCTGTGAGAGAGAGGAGGTGGTCCCGAGTGTCTCCAAAGTCCTCAAGCTACGGAAACAGGCGGTCAC